CCCTGGTCGCCCCTGGGACGAAGCATAGCTCCTGCCTGGAGGGGAAATCCTCCCCCTCACCCTCACCTCCCGTGGGGCTTGGAGCCAGCCAGGTCACCCTCAGTCCCTGCTGCAGCAAGCAGATTTGGCGTGCAGGCTCCCAGAGTGCCGTTTTTTTGTCCCCATATCCCAGTGGAGGTTTCTTTTACAGCCCCCTCGCTCTCTGCCCCCAGCCCAGCACGCTGTGTCCCATCACCGGTGCTTCACCCCAGCCTCTCCCTCAGCCTCCAGTGCTTCCAGCAAAATTCCTTTCTGGCCAGTCATTGCCGCCCCTCAGCCTTGACGCCTGTGGGACTGGTGTGCTGGCAGGGCTGGGCTTCCTCTTCCTGAGCCGGCCCAGCCCCACCACGCTCCCGACCCCCTCCTCGCCTTCACCCAGTGCCAGGGCATTGGCCCCTTTCCTGGGGGTACGAGGGCACAGGGCCTGCCAGCTGTGCCCACACCAGGGTTCAGGCACCCAGTAGGGGTGCCCAGCTTCCCTCACCCTCCCCGGGGCAGCCACATCCCACACGCAGCCTGTGCCACGGTGGTCCCACCACCCCCGGTGGGTTTCTGTGAGAGGATGATTTACAGCCCCAGTTTGGGCAGGGAGTGTGCAGAGGATGACTGTGGTGAATCACTCACTGCAAGGCAGCCGGGAGGAGTGGGAGGCAGTGGAGAGGAGTGGGAAGCAGCAGGGATGAGTGGGAGGCAGTGGGGAGGAGTGGGAAGCAGCAGGGACGAGTGGGAGGCAGTGGCTTCTGGAAGGGAGCTCAGCCTCATGGAGGTGTGAGGACTCCTGCCAACATATCTGCCTCGCAGCACTGCTGCTGCTGCTCCCCCTCCCCTCCCAGCATCCACCCCAACTCAGGTCTCACATCCAGCATTTCTGGAGCTGGACCCCTGCTGACACCCACATCTTCCCTGCACACAGCCAGCACCCACTCGTTCACCCCTCACTGCATGTGCCAACGCTCAGCCTCAGCATCACCCCCTGGCACCCACAGTTCCCCTCAGCTTCCCACAGTGGCACTGCCTCTCCTTATTAATTTCAGGATGAATGCTTTGCTTTTCCACAGTCCCCTTCACCTGTGGCTCTCCCAGCATTGTGCAGATATTAATTACTGATAATTAATTAAGTCAGGCATCCCCATTCCCCTGTGGAGATGCTGTCTCATAAACAGGCTGACAGCAAACACAGTGTCAGGGCAGGCAGAGCTGGGTGGGAGCTTCCAGTTCCTGTTGCTAATGATCCAAACCTCACCTGCAGCAGCTTCTACCTGATAGACCTTCCCGGAGGGCTAATGGGCTGGGAGGGGGAGATAGGTGGGAAACCAGCAGTACCTGGTTTGGTCTCAGCAAGGTAGGATGGATGGATCTTTTTTGCCTCTGGCTGTCTCTGTGCAGCTTCTGCTCCTGGAAACTTGCTCCTAGTTTGCTGTGGCTGTGGGACATGGGGCTGCCTGGGTAGGAGGGAGGGGGGCCAAACTGCTGGTGGAGCTTGTTTTGAGCCACCTTGTTATTTGCATTGGTGTTGAGCTGCAAACCCTCCAAGATAGATGGGAATTATCCTCTGTCAACCCTGAAGGGTTCAGAGTGTTCCAGAGGCAGCATAAGGGTTCAGCATTTCCCCATCCCACTGCTCCTCAGTGGAGGGCTGGGACTCTGTGCAGGAAGAGGACAGGAAGACAAACAAGGTTGTTGACCCTCCTGAAGTGAAGGAGGGGGATTGCCCAGGGATGCACAGCAGGAACTTGCAGTTTGCTCACTGCAGTGTGGCTTGGAGGATCCCTTGGGCAGGGTCCCTCTGCTCTCCTGGGTGACAGAGCTCCTCTGGGCAGCCATGGGTGTTGTTTGGGGGTCTCTCCCCTGCCCAGGTCACCCACTCCCTCACTTGTGTGCGGCTGCCGCTGCCTGACCCTGAGGCTGCACGGGGCACCAATCCCTGACCGGAGGTGCCACCTTAATCCGGATCAGTGGGAAATCTGTCGAGTGCCCACGCAGCCCCGTGGCAGCTCACTGCCACTCCTGGGCTCTGCAGATCAAGAGCCAGCTGGGACATGGGCACAGCCCTGCAGGAGCCTGGCCCTGGGCAGCCTTTCTGTGTGAGTGTGGAGCACAAATGCATTAATTGTTGGACGGAGCCAGCTCGCCCAGCAGCCGCTCCACAAGCAAAAGCAGGAGCAAACCGGGGTGAGATTAAGGCATTCCTTGGGCAGCTCCCACCCCCTTGCCCTGGCCACTGCATCTCGGCCTGCAAGGCCACTAATGCTACTTACATTATTACTGGATTATTTGGGTGTAATGAGCTTTGCCCCGCTCAGCTGTCCCTCTGCTCAGGGCTGTAGTGATGTGTAATACTTCCTGCGCGAGGCCACGAGGCGGGCAGCTGCCGGCTCGAAAACAAGCAGAGCCCCAACAACACAATGCGTTAATGTTCCCGGACAAAATTCCAGCATGGGCTGGAGGTTAATCACAAATCAGGGAGCTTTGGGTGTAGCGCTGAACAAAGCCAGCGGGCGGGAGGGAGATGGTTCCCTAAGCCGGGTCCTGCCCCGTCTCCATGGGCACAGGCAGGAGCGACCGTATCAGTTCCATCTCTTTCTGTGGTGTAACACAGCTATAACCATCTCTTCCATCCTTGGCTCCTTTTCCTCTGCCTTCCTCCCATCAGACCTGCCGATGCAGGGGCTTGGCAATGTGTTGCTATGGACACCAGGAAGTTTTTCCCTAGAGACCAGAAGCCTGGAATAAGTGATGCCTGCATTTTCTGACATAGGTTATTATTTTTTTTGTTCCCCTTTTTTTATTATCAATGTTTGTTTAAATGTTGATTAATGCCCAGCTTTTCCTCCCGCCTCTGTCATGCTTTTCTCACTGAGCTTTGTGGATTTCCATGGCTGTGTCCCAGGGCTTGGCTTCTGCTTCATTCTGGGCCAGGGCGTGAGCACTGGGTGCGTGGGAGGAAGTTTCAGTGCTGTAACTCTTGCTCTGCTGGAGACCCTCACAGAAAAGATCCCCCATTTATTCCAGCCTTGGGAGATCCTGTTGGTCTCCTCAGGCTACTGCAGAGCTCATGGACACACACCACCACCAGCAGCTGCCACAGGAGGTCCTGGATTCCTGTTCCCAGGGCTTGTGCCCCTTGGCAAAACACGCTTGCAAAAGCGCGGGTAGAGGTGCCCTGCTCCCTTCATTGTGTTTGGGAGCTTAAAGTGTTTAGGTTTAGACTAGTTAGTGTCTCTACTGATCTGAGCTCCAGGCCTGACTCCCATTTCATCACTCCTCTGTTGGCACTTGGTATCCTTTAGTGCCTGTATTGGCCCCTGAGAGCTCTTGGCCTGCAAAAGCACGTTCAGGAGGGAAGTCCCAGCAGCTCTTGGAAGGCTGGAGCTTGAACTTTGCAGCAGGGCACTCACAGGAATGTACCTCAGCTTCCCTTGCAGCCCTCAGGTCGAGCTTGGCGAGGCAGCCTCTCCCCAGCAGCTCCACAGCCCTGGGGATGGAGCAGTGGTCAGGGAGGGTCAGCCCATTTCCCAGAGGGAAGCAGTGGTGCACGTCTGCAGAGTGTATCTCTGGGCAGTTGGCATACAGAATAGGATTTTACTGTGAGACAGTCTCAATGTCATTTTGACTTCTCATTCTTTGCTTTTGAAGCCAATAATGGGCTGCTTCTGTTCCCTGTCACTTGATCTGCCCCTCAGTGAGCGAGGAGCCTCTGATGAGTGATCTCCTCTGTCCTGTGCCCCTTATTCCCAGCTCTGGTGGGACTTCACAGACTGGCTTTCAATCAGCTGCTTCTCTTGTTCCTGGGAATGCAGTTCAGCACTGGGTCAGAAAATCTTTGGCCCATTGAAATGCTGCCTTTTGCTGCTCGAGTTGCCCAAGTCGTGACTCCCTCTCGGAAATCTTACAGCAAATAAGCCCTGTGCTGCTTGGCCCCCGCCTGCAGGGGCTGGCATGGTGTCAGCCTGCCCAGACCTCCTGCGCAGCCCAGGCACTTGCAGGTGAGGCAGGGAAAGCAGGAACTGCTCGGTACCATGTTTTCTCTGTGTGTTTGGGGGTTTTGTTGAGGCAGCAGGAAGATCCCCTGCTCCATATGGATCCTACCCTGGGTCGTGGGGTGAGGCTGCTGAGCATCACCTTCGTGGTGTTCTGCAGAGCTGCTGGTGGGGGATGAGGAGTGGAGGTGAGTCTCTGGACTCTCTGAAGCAGGAGAAAGATGGCTCTTGCCCACAGTTCGGTGGGAGCCACGTCGCCCTCCCCTCCCCTGTGGCCCCTGGCTCAGCACAGGGCCCGCACGTGCCACGGTGCCACTCCGGAAGGAGCAGCGGGGCTGGGATGCTGCTCCTTGCTGAGGAGGTGAGAGTCCCACCAGGGCCAAACACTCAATTGCCGTGATGTTTGAAAGCTCCTTGAAAAATTACTTCTTCTTCCAGTTCCTAACCAAACAAATGGAAGCTCCAAAAAAACAGCAGTTCCTTCCCCTGCTGCTGCCAAATCGGTGCTTACTGGGCTGTTTCTGAGCGGGTCAGCAGCAAGCCAGGGCTGCCTGAGGGCTGAGCAGAGCAGTGGGTAGCTGGTCCCTGTGTTGTCCTTCTGCACCTGCTTAGGAGATAGGAGAGCATCTGGGGAGGCATGCTTGGCTTTGGGGCAATGCTGCAGGTGACCTGGCTGTCCGTGCAGGGACAGGGAGCAGTGCTTGGGCACTTGCACTGCAGACCAGTGAGCCAGACATGGGACGTGGCTCTTTTGTGGGGTAGGGAAATCCCAAATCCAGACAGGGACGGGCACCCAGCTCAGAGTCGCTGGGTGCTGTCCTTTGCCTTTAGTGATGGCCTGATGTCCGGCTGCCGTGTCGCTGTCACCAGAGGGCTCTTTGGCAGCTGCCCAGCAGAGGTCAGTGCAGTGAGACCCAGCTGTGTCCCAAATGCTAACAGACCCCTCCCCTCTCTTGCTTTCCCCTCCCTCTTTTCTGCCAGCAGTTCCCTATCAGCAAAACCCCTACACCCCTGGGAGCAGCTCCTCCGTGATCCAGTGCTACCGCTGTGGGGACACCTGCAAAGGCGAGGTGGTGCGTGTCCAGAGCAATCACTTCCACATCCGCTGCTTCACCTGCCAAGGTAGGTGGCCAGGTTGCCCCACAACCCTGGGTGCAGTTTGGAAGCAAAATTCTGGGGACAGACTTACCTGGCCCACTGAGATGTGGTCACATGCCCAGGGGTGGCAGCTTCCTGCAGGGGGGAAGTGGCGTGGCACAGGTGGGAGGTAACAGCACGGTGTTACCTGATGGCAGAGCCAGAGGCTGTGAAGGGATGGCCGAGACCTGGGCAGTGTCACTACTCTTGAGCAGCCTCAATGCCAGCAGTGTGCAGGTACAAACGTGCCCATGGCCCATCTGTGATGTGGCTGGGCCACCACCTCCTTCAGCTGCCTTCCCATACCCAAATCAGGAGGAGGAGGAGGAGGGAGGTATTGCCAGCCTGGCTGAGAAGCAGCAAGGTGATACTCGGAGTGGCTCCTGATGGGGTAGGAGCTGGGTGACAGATCACTGCCACCCGCCCATGAGATGCGACTGAGGTGTCATGGGATGTAATGGGATGCAGCTGGGACTCGGTGGCCTCAGGGCTGGCAGAAAGGGAGAAGTTGCTTGGATCCTCCCTGAGCGCCAGAGGAGAGCTGCAGAGCTGTAAAGCTAATGGTGCAGAGCTGTTGTGAAGGGCTCCTCAGCACCTTTATTAGAGCAGCTGCTCTCAGCCAGGCCAGTGGCTGCTTCTGTGGGCTGTAAAACATCTCATTTCAGGCCTTTTTAAAGGTCTCTGGTCTTCCATACTCCCAGCACTTTGTACTAAGCAGGACATAAATCCCCATCCCCTTGGCCATACTTTGCTGCTCTTCCCCAGAGAACAGCTGGTTTGGCTGCAGGGGACTTCCCTGGACAGTCCTCACTCCTGCTGCAGCCCTGTCCCCTGAGCCATGGGCAGCCCCTGATCTCTGAGAGGGATGTGGGTCCTAGGCTGCCCTCAGGGCTGACCTACACCTGCAGGGCACCGTGCTGAGCATCCTGCCCTTACCCAGCTCAGACATGGAGCTGAGCATCCAGACGAAGAGCTCAGACAGCTGCCAGCTTCAAAGGGCCCAGGAGCCAGCAGGGAGAGCCTGGCAGTGCTCACTGCCCGATTTCCAAGTGAAAGGGAATATATAATGAGAGGAAATCCTCCTGTCTCACCTTCCCTCACCTCCTGCCACCTCTGGCTGGCTGCTGCCAGCTCTCACAACTGCCTGTTCCTGCCATGTCTGCCGGAGCCTGGCATGGGAGTGCAGCCCTGGAACGTGCTGTGGGTGCCAAAGCAAACAGGGCATAAACTAGCTTCATTTTATCTTGCTGCTGCTTCCTAATGCTGTCCCAGAGCTGGTGACCTGTCCCTTGTTGCTGACAGGCTGTTTTGGAGAGCAGTGGGTGCTGGCCCTATGCCCCTCACGTGGGTACTTGCAGCACCAGGGAGCAGCTTGGCCAAGGGATGCTCCAAAGGAGAGGAGCTGCATCTCTGCCCCCATGGGCCCTGCAGCAGTGGGTCCAGCTGTCCCCTGCCACCCTGGGGAGGGTGGCTGCTGTGTGGGCTGGCCTGCAGGTGCAGGCAGGGTGTGCAAGGACAGGACAGAGGGGTGCTCAGGCCTGAAGGGTAAAACAGAGACCAAGATGGGCTGTGCCAGCAGGTGCTCAGTCGCTCTGTAGTCCCCCCTCCACCCTGTAGGACGGGTGATGGGCATTGTGCAAAGGCCCCAGGACCTGGCCCCTGTGCCAGTCCAGATGTGCCCTCCAGGGTCTGATGCTCTCGAGGTCTCTCTGGATGGAGAACTTGTAGGAGGGAAATGACGCTGAGGCCGGGCTGGCCACATCTCCTTGGATTGCTGTGATGGGCTGTGCACCACCCACGGTTCCCACAGCAGGGAAGGAAGCAAGGTTGGGCTGGACACCTATGGAAAAACAAGCACTGAGAGCTCCAACCCCAGTGTGTCCCAGGACCTGTTCCCATTAGGGCACAGCTTCATGTCCAGGCCAGGGAGTGGGGATGGCTCATCACAGAGGCAGCCATGCCCCAGGGCATGGAGAAGACCTCTCCCTAGTTGTCCCTAGGGCATTCCCAACTCTTAGCTAGTCCTGTTCTCAGCTTCCTGACACAATGAGAATGTCAAAAGGAGGGGCTGAGCCTCAGCCAGGTGCAGTGGGTCCAGGAGGGGATGCCACTGGCCCTGCCAAGCTGTTTGTTCGTGGTGAAGGGGGGGCTGCAGAGGTTCCCTCCCAGCCCTGGGATTTCCTCTGGGAGCGCCCAGCCCTACTGTCCAGGCAGTACCATCCTGCACCCCTCCACAGCCCAACACTGACATCTTGTGGTGCTGGGAGAAGGCCCCAGCCCTCTGGTGGGAAGGGAAACCCTCTGAGATACCTGCAGGAAGCTGTGTCCCCAGGGATGCCCTGGGACTGCTGCTGGAGAGGCAGCAGAAGTGGGCTCAGGGATCCTGGGCTGGACCTGCCCACTGTCCCCGTGACGGGTGCGTGTCCTCCCCTCCAGTGTGCGGCTGCGACCTGGCACAGTCGGGCTTCTTCTTTAAGAACCAGGAGTACATCTGCACCCACGACTACCAGCAGCTCTACGGGACCCGCTGCGACAGCTGTGGGGACTTCATCACTGGAGAGGTCATCTCTGCCCTGGGGAGGACCTACCACCCCAAGTGCTTTGTCTGCAGCACCTGCAGGTGAGTGGAAATCATCACCAAGCGTTCATGATCCCCTGGAGAAGCCTTGAGCAGCTCTTGGCTGTGCACCAGACAGAGGGGTCTTCATTTGCTTGCAGCCCCTTGTGCCCCATTCAGCACCACAGCAGGCACTTCCTCTGTGTTCTCTGAGTGGAAACCCTCGGGAGGCAATGAAATGGTTCCAGCCATTCCCTTTGCAGCCTGGAGACCTCCTTTGGTCCTCCCACCCCAGCACATGTGCACCCTCACTGCCTCCCCTCGTAGCCCTTGCCTGGAGCCCCTCTGCTCCCTGGCACCGTGGGTCCTGCTGGCCCCTGGGGTGGGAGCTCCCGGGCAGCCCCAAGCACTGCATGCAGGGGAATGAGCAACTCACACCTCCCCCCCTCTCCTTGGCCACAGGAAGCCCTTCCCCATCGGAGACAAGGTCACATTCAGCGGGAAGGACTGTGTCTGCCAAAACTGCTCCCACTCTCTCATCAGCACCAAACCCATCAAGATCCACGGGCCGAGCCGTAAGTTGACTGCTCTCCTGTTACGTGATGGTTACAAGGAGCGGGACCTCGTGCCTGTGGACGATGCTTGGGGAGGGTGACAAAACAGGCTTAGGGGCCACGGGTGTTCACAGAGGTTTCGGAGGAGGAGGAACAGGGTAGTCCTGTGGCTCCACCCAGGATTGCAGGTCACAGCTGGTTTTGGAAACTCCCTTGGCCTGTTTGTGACCTGGGCAGGTGCCGCCACCCTGGCGGGCGCTGTCTGAGGTCACGGAGAGGTTTTGGAGCTGAGTTTGCTCTGAGTCAGTTGCTTTGTGCTCAGCTGCACCAAGGTCTGTGTCCAAGTGCAGACCCTGGGACTACTCACCCGGCTGTCCTAGCACTGGCATTCCTTGCTGCCTCTACAAGTACTGAAAGGCTTTTTACACTCATCCCCTTGCCGTGATGAACCCCTGCTAAAACTCGGCTGCAGCAATGGACAAGCTCTTTTGGGTGAATTTGGCCTTGCTTTTGACCTCAGGCTGGGATTACCTTCCCTTCATGCCATGCTTGGCAAGCCCTGGAGATCAGTGCCTGAAGCAGAGTCCTGCAGCCAGGGCCAGAACCAGGACTATGGTCACCCCGTCACCATGGCTGCACTGCTGGTGGCTGCGTGGGTTGATTTACAAGTTGGTGCCCCTGGGAGCCCCCCCCTCAAGCTGCCTCTCCCCAGCTCTCACCACAGCCTTGATGGAATTAAGAGATGTGGCAGGGTTCAAATGAGCCTCAGCCAGAGGACAGGGATTCCTCCACCTTCCTCCATCGCACCCTGAGCTGCCCAGAGCCAGGCTGTGCCTGACCCACAGCAGCCACTGTCTCCTGTAGCAGTGCCAGGGGAAGGGCAGCCACACGCTCTGCCTCTCGCCTTCCTCTCCCTTCCCATCCCATCCCCTTCCTGCCAGTGCTCCTCCCTGGCCTGTGGAGCGGGGTTACCTGAGGGCACCATGCTTTATTCATGGACAGCTGCAGGCAGATGTAGCCTGCCTCCTGCATGTGTCACTCACAGCCTCAGTCGCCCTGGCAGTGCCACCCAGAAGGGTGGCAGGGGAGGTGTGTGGGCTGGAGCCTGTGCTGGTGCACTCTGCAGGGATGGCATCCCTAGGAGGAGGATGCTGAGCCTCTCTCTGCAGCTCCAATCCTGCAAGCATCTCCAAACCAGAGAGAGGAAATGGCTCCTGGCTCAGCTTGCTTTTTTCTAGGGGTCACAAATCCTCCCCCCTCAGCTTTGTCCAGTGGGTGGGGACTTGGCACAGAGTAGCTTGGGATGGGCTGAGTGGAACAGCCTGTCTGCTCCTGCTGCCTGTGCAGTGCCATGGCAGGGAGGGGGTTAAGGAGAAATCCCATCCGGGCAGACCTGCTGCCCAGGGGGAGAAGAGGACAAGGAAGAGTCAAGGTCAGGGGTCCGAGGCCCATGTGCTTCCTGCTCCCAGCCTTGATGGGAGCCTGGGGAAGCAGGGAAGGAAGGGAGTCTCGTAAATACTGCAGCAGGGCCGGATGTGGCTGCCGGAGAGCACAGCCCTTCCTCTGCTGTGCTCGCTGCCGGACACTTCCCACTGCTCCTGCCTCGAGACAGCCCCTGGGGACCTGCCAGGACAGCATAGCCCCTGGCCCTGGCTCAAACTTGTCACCCAGCAGGGAGACCCAGCTCTGTGCTGTGGCGGGTGCATGGCTGGGGTGGCTGGGTGCCAGCAGTACCGCAGAGGTGCCAGCTCCAGCCTTCCTCCTGGTTCGTATGCTGGGAACAAGCAGAGGTGGCGTATTTCCATAAAGAAATGATCCCCAAGAAGCTACCCCTGGAGTGGTCTCAGGAGCCGGGTGTTTATAAAGCATCATCCCTAGTGAAGTCCTCTGGGGCAGGGTTTTCCTCTGGGTGTGAAGGGTGTGCCAGGTTGGATGACTGGGGTGCCTTGGTGTGGGCCAGCAGATTTGGGTGTTCCTGCTGTGCTGCCATGGTCCCACACTCCCCCACCCTTCTGTCCCCCCAGACTGTGCCGGCTGTAAGGAGGAGATCAAGCAAGGCCAGTCCCTCCTGGCCCTGGAGAAGCAGTGGCACGTCAGCTGCTTCAAGTGCCAAACGTGTGGGATCATCCTCACTGGCGAGTACATCAGCAAGTGAGTGCCACCTTCCTGGCAGCACTGCCAGGCTTTGCTCCGAGGGGCTGGGGCTGCAGCAAGGGACTGTCCACTCACCCACTGCTCACCCTTCTCCTACCTCTCCCGCAGGGATGGCATCCCGTACTGTGAGTCTGACTACCATGCCCAGTTCGGCATCAAGTGTGAGACCTGTGACCGGTACATCAGTGGCCGGGTCCTGGAGGTGAGTCCTGGGGCTGCAGCCACCCCATCCCGGTCTGTAATAGGGACATGCCTTGGGGAGGTGTGGGAGTTGCCTCATCCTGCCCCCGTCATGCTACCCTTCATCTCTGGGGGCCATGGCTCTTCCTGCAGCAGGTGTGTGGACACACCTTCTCTGGAGAGTGGGAGTGGGAGTGGGGAAGGAGCACCAGAGCTTAAGAGAGGTGGCTTGGATGCCTGAGCTGTGGAAACAGCAAGAGGGGCCTGGATGTGGTGGGACATGTCTGGAGCCCAAGATGTGGGGACATCAGCCTTAAACATCTGCTGCCATGCCTGGCTCTGGATGTCCCCAGCACACTCACCCCAGCCTGCCTTCTGAGCCCATCCGTGTGCCGGCAGCCTGCCTGTTGCCTTGGAAACATATCCAGCACAGCTGCCCGCTGCAGAGCCTGGGTGAGGGGCTGCAGCACCCTACCCATGGGCAGCAGTCCCCATGGCACACTGCTTTGCAGGGCAGCAGTTGGAGCAGGAGGTCTCCTTCAGTGGTCCAAATCAAAGGGGGCTTTGCTCATTGCATTGCTGGACAGTAGGAGCTGCTCTGGCAGAGCCACGGAGGGATGCAGGGATTCCACAGGGATCCCACAGGGATCCCACAGCAAGGCGGCTGTGCAGTGTGTTTTGGGTGATGATGGGGCTGCACAGCCAGTGAAGGGAGTGAGGGTTGCTGTTGGGGAGGGACAGAGAGGTCCATCAGGGCTGGTCCTTCCTGGCAGCCAGGTGGTTACCTCCTGCCTGTGGCTCCTGGCTCCTGGAAGTGGCATGTCCTGTCACGCTTTCTGTTTATACCCCAACGTATGCAGGGGGGAAAAAAATCCAGTCTGAGGGTAACCCAAAGGCTCAGGAGGCACAGAGAAAGATGTCAGAAGGAAGCCTGTTGTGATTTTTAGAGCCCCTGATGACACTATGGAGCTGGGCTGTGGTGACACAGAGGCAGCAGTGCTGAAAGCATTCTCAGTCACTCCTGAGACCTCCCTTTCTGCACAGCTGAGCAGGAGGGAAGGGCTCCCACATTTCTGTCATCCCCAGATTGCAGCAGTAGGAAGCTGTATCCCAAAATCAGAGGTACCGTGACTCCACAATGAGGCCACAGGTGCTGTGGGCTGAGTGACTGACTGTGGTCTCCAACCTCCTGAGGGTTGTTCCAGGACATCTCCAGCCTGTTTCACTCACAGTCTACCAAGAAACCATCACCCTCTCTGGTCCTGCCGGCTGGGCTGGCCTGAGAACACCCAGCCTTCCAAGGAACCTCTCTGAAGCTGGGGCCAGTTGCCAGGAACCTTTCAGCATCTTCCCCCTCTCTGGGGGGCTGCCTCTGCCTGGGAAGGTTTTCTGCTGACTCCAGGCTTCAGCAGCAGTCCCAGCACTGGCTGATGGGAGCATGAGCTCAGCACTGCAGCAGCTGCCAGGGGCCGGCTGCCCATCATGGGGTCACTTCATCAGCAAATGTCTGAATGGAGCAGGGCAAAGCCAGAGGCTCCCCAGACATCAAATCCCTGCTGCTGCTCCCCTGGGAAGTCTAGTCCCCGATAGCCCCATGCCGGGATAGAGCACCCTCAGCCAGCCAGAAGTGTGAGCAGGGGGGGTGTTACGTGGTACGGGATGTTCAGTGTGTGAGGGGGGTGAGAGGAATCAGAGGGGACCTGAGACCCCGTCATAGAATCATAGAATGGTTTGGGTTGGAAGGGACCTTAAAGATCACCTTGTTCCAACCCCCTGCCATGGGCAGGGGCACCTTCCACTAGACCTGGTTGCTCCAACTCCTGTCCAACCTGACCTTGAACTCTGTTCCAGGTTCAGGGGCCATGCAGCCCACCCTCCCTACCCTCCCTGGTATGTGCCTGCTCACAGTATTGAATCATCTATAAATCCAGAGGCTTTAATTGTCTTTTCTGTCAGAGTGTGAAATGGAAAGGGTGTCTTTAAATAATTTTAGGCATTAAGGAGGCTCCTCATGCTATCCCAGCAGCCTTCAGGCATTCCCAACTGCTCCAAGCTGTGCAGCCAGGCTTGGATGATTAATGAGTCTTTAAGGGACCCAAGTGATAACAAGCAGTTCTCTTCCCTTGCAGCCTCTACCAGCCTTTTACAAGCTGTAGCATTAAACAATGCAAAAGGAACAAGGTTTGTGCATGGTTTGGAGGGTTGCTGCTCAGGAGGAGTGCGGGTGTTGAGATGTTGGGTGGCTTTTGGAGAGATCTATGATGAAAAGCAATTTGGGACTGGGCTGGTACACACCACAGGGGAGCAGCCAGTCTCCCTCCACATGGCATCTTAGAATCATAGAATGGTTTATATTGGAAGAGACTTTAAAGCTCATCTCATTCCAACACCCTGCCATGGGCAAGGACACCTTCCACTAGACCCAGCTAACCTGGCCTTGAACACCCACATCCTGATCTGCAGAGCATCCCCTTTTAGCACAGTCTGACCTGTGACAGCAGATAGGAAAAGGTGGATATATATGGGATTTTTTTCCTTACTGTCAGCACAGCAAGCTGTTGAGGGTACTGATAGAGTCCAAGAGCACTAAACCCTTCCCAGACTCAGAGAGGGATGGGGGAAGAAGGAAAGGAAGAGGGGTCAAAACTCATTTCCCCTGCCTGTACTAAAACCCTCCACTCATTTTTGTTATAAACCGGAGGGGGAAGGCCACTGGCTGCCATTTGCACCCCAAGGACACTGAATTCCAGGCTGATTTCTATGGGCAACCCATGAGCAGGTTCTTAGTTATCCTCACAGCAGATTTCCCTGTTGATTCTCCCTGTTTCAAACTGGCTCCAGCCCCCTCTATCATAACCCCCCTTCTTTGTCTGTGACAGCCTCATCTTCCCTCTGCCACCTTCAATTCTTCTTCTTCTTCTCTTGGATTATTATGGGAGTAAAAAGTTCTTTTCTGGGCTCCCAGCCCAGAAAGCGAGCCTATAATTGAAATGCTAGGAGACACTTTGAGGGGGAGCAAGCTCCCAATTTAAGCTGTTATCCCTGTCAAAGAGCAAAAGGAGCAGCCTAGCTTCCTCTCAGCTGGGGAAGAGCATGTCACTAGCACTGAAGTTTGGGCATCGCTCCACCGAAGGAGAAAAGTGTCTTTAGGGATGAGCTGGCAGTGGTAGCCAGGGAGGGTCTGGCAGCAAGAGGAAACCTTTGCTTTGCAAGGTTTATCTTTGGGGTCCTTCTTCTCCCTTTACTGCTTCCCTGTTGTGACATCCTGGGCCAAATTTGCTGGTTTTTTTCAAAGCTGTAGAGGAGGAGCTGGTGCAAAGCATGGCTGCTTAGCTGAGTGCTGCTGCAGAGGGTTTTGGCTATTTGCAGAGTGCAGGGATGATTGATTAGGGTTTGTAGGGTACCTTCCCTGGGGGTTTGGGATCTCCTGGTTCTGCTTTCCTGTGTGTTGGAAATCTCAAGGAGATCAGAAAATTCATGGTCTGACTCATAGTCCAGCAGGTCAGAAACACTTGTGATGAAGTGGTCTCTGGTTTTCTCCATGTGATATGAAGGTCTCCGAGGCCACTGTGGGCAGTTTTGTCCCATTCACCTTGTCATTGTCTGCAGCAGTGAGGGCTGTCAGGGTCACTTGCCCTCAGGGACATGAGCAGGTCACCATGTCCTGCCTTGCTCAGGGGTCCCTGTTCTCTGCTCACCCTTGCAGGCAGGAGGGAAGCACTACCACCCCACCTGTGCCAGATGTGTCCGCTGCCACCAGATGTTCACAGAAGGAGAGGAGATGTACCTCACAGGTAGGGGTGAGGAGGGACCCCTGGCCCTGTGTCGGGGCTGTGTGTGGGTGTCCTGGCTGGGGGGACTTTGGGGTTTGGGTCACTATGGCACTGAAAGGGCCTCTTTGTGCAGCAATACCCCCCTCCACTGCTCCCCAGCACCTGGTTAGGGTGGCAATCATTTCTCTCTGTGAAACCTTCCCTGCCACTGAGCTGGAGGAGACTGTTCCTCATCAGAAGCTTTTTGTTCCCTGCGAGTCTCCCTGCACAGCTGGGGAGCACTGCTGGGCATGCCTGGATGTGTCCCTGGCCTTCTCCCAGTGAACAGAGCCTGGGATGGGTGCAGGGTGCTTGTCTCCCTGCTCTCCCCAGCCCCAGGGGAGGGTGGTCCATCCCCAGCTCCCCCAGCCCAGGTTAGCTGGCAAGCAGCACTGGAGGGGTAAGGCTTTCACTCAGCACAGATGGATGTTTTGGGTTTGGTTTTGGCAAGAGCTTATCCCCTTAGACCTGTTTTAGGGGCTGTTTCCAGCACAGAGGGAAGGTTTGTTTTCTCTCAGTAACCCCTGCTTGCCTGTCACAGTTTAGTAGGTTTGGCCACTGCTCCTCAGTGCTTGGGAGCTGTTTCATTCCTTAGTACAGACACACAGTCCCCAATGTCTTGAGGCTTCCCACCAGGCATGTTCCTATGGCACTGCTGGAGATGGCAGGGACAGGATGGGATTCTCCCATGGCAGGGGGACCTGGATGATCCCTGGGCTGTGTGTGGAGCTGAAACACTTTCCCTTTGCTGCATTGCAGGCTCTGAAGTGTGGCACCCGATCTGCAAGCAGGCGGCCAGAGCAGAGAAGAAGCTGAAGGTAGGCAGCAGGGTGAGGGGCGTCTTAAGAGGTGGCACATCCCAGGGGATGCCCCCAGGTCCCTGCAGGAGGGGAACTGTTGTGGCAGTGTCCAAGCTTGGAGTGGCTTCCCGAGGCTGCCCAGAGGATGGTGGGTGGCTGTGGCTGTTAATGGACACCTGCCTGGGGAGGGGGCACAGCAGTCCCCTCACAGTGCCCACACCCCTCTCTGCACCTGATGGGCCATGGGAACAGCTGTCAGTGGGGTCTGGCCAGGCCACTCCAGATCTGCCCCTGAGAGCTGGATGCAGGGCAGCCTGAACAGCCATGGGCACAGGCAGGCAGCAAGTGAAAGTGCAGAGAAACTGGACCTTCAGTGAAATTTTGCCCCCAAACCAACTATTTGGCTTCTGTACCCAGCGTGTGCCTGCTCAGGGGTCCCTCCTTGCCATGCCTTCCACCTTTTTGCCTCCACAGCACAGAAGGACGTCGGAAACCTCCATCTCCCCTCCTGGTTCCAGCATTGGCTCCCCAAACCGTGTCATCTGTGTAAGTACAGCTCTGCCCCTCATCCAGGGCCCCAAGGAGGGGATCAGCAGTTTCTAGAGCTGCTCTTCAGTGTGAGGTGTCCTCCAGGGACAAGCCCAGCATTTGGGGATAGCATGGACAAGCCATATCCCCTTGCCCCAGTGCCGTGCTGTGCCACCAGAGCAATTGGCAGGGATCAGGAGCACTCGGAGGGGCACAGTCCTACCCTCCCAGCTCCTCTGCCCCTACCCACTGCTGCCTCTCAGGCATCTCCTCTTACCTCTTCCTGCTGCTGGGGTGACGGTGGGCTCTGCCTGCTCCACACTGTGCGTTCCAGCCTTCCCTTCCTTCTCTCCTCCTCTTCCTTTCCGTCTCTCTGTCTCTGTCTCTCCCTCTCCCTAGGCTAAAGTGGATAATGAGATCCTTAATTACAAAGACCTGGCAGCTCTTCCCAAGATTAAAGCCATCTATGAAGTGCAGCGTCCTGACCTCATTTCCTACGAGCCCTATCACAGATACACGTCGGATGAGACACTGGAGAGATATAGCTATGGGGAGGTACTGAGTGTTGATATGCCCAGTGCTGGGATGCACAGGGACCAGGCCCCAGTTTGGGGGAGACTGTGTGTGGGTTTGCTCACTCCAGTGGGAATACTGCAGGGAGGCAGGAGTGGGGGTAAGATCTCTCCCAGAGGCTCATCGCCACCAGGAAGAGGGCCTGGGCTGAAAATAAAGTGTTGATGCTGCTGCTGTAGAAACCAGTGACCTTACCAGTCACCAGTGACCTTACCAGTCACAGACCCGACTGCAGGGATAGCACTGCGTGGGAGGAGTGATGTGGCAGGGGAGGAGCCCATCCCAGCCCACAGCGGGGGAGGAGGAGATCACACAGCAGCACATGTGCATCCCTCCAGGGTGGAGGGACAGACGATCCCCAGGCTCAGCCCAGAGCCTGGCCCCTGGCTCACAATCCTCCTGGCCACCCAGCCCAGCACAGCACCCCTGGAGCACGGCAGGGCTGCCCTGTTTGGTGCTGGCCCTGCAGGCAGGAGAAGGGGCTTGGTCAGTGCGTTTCCACAAGAGTGTGATGAGATGATGCCCCAGCAACATGTGGCATGGGACTGTCCCACCTGCCCAGGCAGGCTGGGACTGCTGGATGAGTTCAGTAAGTCCATGGAAGAGAAGGTCTGAGCAGCTCACACAGAGGTGGGGCACCTGAGGTAGTCTTGGAAGGGGACTTGGTGATGGCCAGCAGGAGGAGCATCTCTTACATCACCAGCCCCAAGGTTTTGTCCCAAGCCTGGCTTCCTCCAGCCCCCCCAGGCTTGGTGCAGGCAGCATGGCCATGGCCCACTGTGGAGCACCCAGGAGCCAGCAGCTGCCTTCCCCCCTTGCAGCTGCTCCACTGAGGTTTCTGAGAAGGGGTGCAGGCTGCTGGTTCCTCGTGCTAGTTCCCCTCTTGGCCAGGGGCTCCCTGCCCAGTGTCCTGTACCACCAGCCACCCTAAATGCCTGGCAGCTGTAACTTGGAGAAAATGAGCTGCTGTGGGATCCTGGTCTGTCACTGCTCCTCTTAACCATGTGCTGTCTCTCTCTCTCTTTTCCTCCCCACTTTGCCTCCTGCTGCCTCCAGTCCCTGGGGACCCTCTCCCCATACTCACAGGTAACGCCCCTGCGGGCACTGTCACCTACTGCTGCTGCAGGATGTCCCTCTGCCCAGGGACAGCTGGGGCTCTGCTGATCATCCCCCCACAGCTGTTGGCTGCCCCAGGGTGGGACCCCTGTCCAGGAGAGTCCTGTCCTTCAGGCCCTGAGGAGAACAGGGTGCAATCCCTCCCTGGCAGAATGGACCCAGGGTGCAGAACCAAGCACAGGGGAAGGAGACTATCTCCAGGCAAAGAGCCTCTGGCTGGACACTGTGACCTGGTCTCAAACTCTGGGCTTTGCTGCCTGTGCTTTGGCAGCAGGGGAGGCAGAGCAGGGTGGGGACCCCCTCTAGCCAGGATATGCACTGCCCAGTGTCACACTGCAGAGCACCCTCCCGGGCTGCCCCAGGCACAGGGATCCGTATCCATGGGATACCTCCTGCCAGCTCTAACACCACTCTCTCCACACCTTCCCCATCCCCAGGACATCTATGAGAGCTTTGACACGCGGCAGAGGCGAGCCTCCAGCCCTGGCTACATCGACTCCCCCACCTACAGCCGCCAGGGCATGTCCCCCACCATCCCCAGGTCCCCCCACCATTTCTACCGCTCAGGTGAGGATTTCAGCTGCAACCCCAGGCTGAGCTAAGCTCAGACCCCCAAGTGGAGTGGGGATCACCAAAATGCCACTGAGACTTCTGTGGTCTCTCCTCTGGCAAGCAGGAGGCCTGGGGGGGGGCATCCACCAGGGAGGCAGTGACCAACTCTGCTCTGTGCATCCTCTGGTTCCCCCGACTCTTGTGAGCAGCAAGGAAGGGCTGAGAAGGCTTTGTGGCTCAGACCTGAGCTGGGGCTCATGGAGGATGGGGTGGGGAGGCAGGTGACCTCCAGATCCGGTGAAGAGCCCCTCAGCTGTCTTGGTAGCTCTGGGATGGGTGTGCACGAGTGTGCTTGTGCCCAGCCAGTGCTGTAAGGGAGGTCCTTACACGTGCACATGTGCATGCACGCACACCCCGGAGCATGTCGGGGGGAAGCAGAGTGTGCCTGTGCCATGTCTCCTGTCCTTTGGAGCTGGGAAGGAATGACTGGGAAAACCTGAGGTCAGTAAGTCCAGAGGTCCTGCAAACCCCAGCGCTTCACCGCCAAGGGTCCGTCACCGTTTGTCTCTGCAGCACGCTCGGCTTTCCTGTCACCAGCGGTGGGGCAGCTGGCTGTCCTGTACCAGCACCTGCACACGGGGTTTCCTCTGCATCCCATCTTCCTCCGGAGATGCGGGAAATCTCCCCCTGCTCCATCACTCCCCATCCTGGATCACGGCCCGGCTCACGTCCCTGTCAGTCCCAGCACATGGGTCGCCCCTGCTCTTCTAACACCGCTGCATTTAACACCCATTTTCTTCTGCCTCTTGTTCTCTCTCTCGGTCACTTATGGCTGCTTCTGCTCGGCACCGCGTAGGCACCGAGAGTGGGCGCAGCTCCCCCTACTATAGCCAGTTAGATGTGAGGTCCTCCACTCCAACCTCATATCAAGCACCCAAGCATTTCCACATCCCAGGTAGGCTCTGGAGTGCCCCGGTCCCTGGGGAAGCGCCGTGTCTGTGGCATGCCCGCATGTGCCGTCCCCGCTGTGTCGCATGCGTAGCTCTGCCGCCTGCCTAGAGCCAGCTGGCAGCAGGATCTACCCCTGGTAGAGGCCATCCATAAACAGGACCTGCAGCTTGAACCCTCCTCCCTCCCCGTCACCACCCGGAGGTCCCAGAGCCACCCGGAGTCTGCTTGATCCTTGCAACATCCCTCTTCTCCCTCTTCCCTGACCTTCCTCCACTCCCCACACGAAGATGAGTCCCCTGGTGAGAGCCTGCCCCCTCCCCTGCCTCCCCCCAGGATCACCAGCTGAAGCGTGTCTGCCGGAGGCCTTTCCACACCCACCCGCTACAGATGACTATTTTATACTCCCCCTAGGGCCCGCTGCTCCCTCCCCCCAGATCTTCTGGGCTTGCCAGATGCCTGCTCCCCTTCTGCAGGGATTGCAGGGGGCCACCAGGTAAGGGCCACCACCCGCTCCTGGCCACGCAGAGCCCACGGGAACGGGGACGGAGCGGGCAGAAATGGAGAGTGGGGTGGGAAGCAGGCAGAGCTGCCCATCATCCTTCAGCATATGCAGGGGGGTCAGAACCCCAGACAGCCCCACTCAGCTGTAAGCATCTCCCACTGCCCTCGTTCTCCTCCAAAGCATGGGACTCTCCACAGTGCGTAGCTGATGCCCTGGGATAGCACCATGAGGACACCCAGAGGCTCCCCACCATGTCCCCAGCTCCCATCCCCTCTCTGCCAGGGTTTGGCCCCGCTGCCCGCCCTGCCCTGCCCTCCCGCTGCCGGTCAGTGGTTTATGGATGGCCCCCTCCCTGCTCCGCCAGCTCTGCTGCCTGGCCCCTGCGTGGGGGCTGTAGCTCTCGGCGCCAGGCTCCAGTTCGCTTTCCCTCCCAACTCGCTCTTTTCTCTCTCTGCTGCGGAAAGAGGCTTTGGCTGGTGTTGTCTCACCCCAGGTAGCTCACAGGCGGTTCTTCTAGGTGCTGGCACCCCGAGAAACCGCCGCAGGGTGAGCGGTGATGCCTCGCTGCCGGCTGGCAGGGGCGGCCGGCGGCTCTGGTTGTGCCCGCCGCACCCGTGCATGCTGACGCTGGGTGCTCACTGCATGGCCTCTGCTCACCACTGCCCGCAGGCAGCCCGGGACCGCCCTCCTGCTGCCCGGGACCGCGCTCCTGCTGCCCGGCACGCCGGCCTGGAGCTGCGCTCCCGTGGGACACGTGGGCCCGGAGGCGGTTGTGTGATGGAAGTGTGGTTGTGGGGTAGTGTCTCCTGCAGGACCTGTGTCCTGCCCACTCTCGGCACGCCCACACTGACCTCTCCTTTCCCCTTCTTCCCTTCTTTCTTCCTTTTCTTTCTCTCTTCTTCCACCAGCTGCCGGCGAGAGTAACATCTACCGGAAGCCCCCCATCTACAAGCGCCATGGTACGATCTGCCTGCTGTGTGTCCATCCCCATGTCCCCATGGGGACAGGACCAGCATGGGGCTCAGTCCAGCTGAGTCATGTCCAGGGGCAGGGTGGGAGATGAGGGCGGGCATCAGAACGTTTGTGTGCTGGGCTTTGGTGGTCTGATGCTCCTGCCTCCCCTCTGAGCAGCAGAGTGCAAGGTTCAGTGGGAGAAAGATATCACTTTGGACCACATCCCTGCTATGAGGGATGGAGGAGAAAGCTGTCAGCAACACCAGGGTAGCTGTGGGAGGGCGAGCAAGGCAATGATGGGGTGGCAGAAGGTTCAAGGGTGGCCATTGATTGCTGAGGCCAGGAGCCAGAGTAGCATCAGAAAAGTGCTGAAGAAGGTAATTTGTAGTTTCACGTGGAGCCCTGGAGAAAAGTCATAGCCCGTCCTGGATAGATGCTCCAGGGTGAAACAGGCCTGGGAGGTGTTGCAGGGTGGGGAGGGTGTCTGGTGTCTCTCAGTGGGGATGGATTGCACTGTCCCCACTTGCTTCTGCACATAGAGGGACAGCAGCTCCCCCCAGCAGTAACTGTGTCTCCTCTCTCTCCCTGGACTTTCCCTTCCCTCCTGCCCAACTCCCACTGCCCCGCTGCTGGCTGCTCCTCCTGCTGTAAGTACCTGCTGTTGGCTGGGTCCCCTGTGCCTGCTGGAGGTGGTGGGATGGCCCTGCTACACCTCCTGTCCTTGGTGTTCCTTCCCCTTCGAGTCTCCCGGCCGCTGGTGCAGCAAGACTCCCCTCTGGGTTTCTCACCTATGCTGCTGAGGCTCAATCCATGTGTGCCCCTGCCATGGGGGCCAAGCCCCTGCCAGAGCCTCTCTGCTCCCTCCCTCCTGCACAGCCCACTGTCACCTTCCCCTGGCAGTAACCCCCAGAGCCCTTTCCCTGCTGGGACTGAGCCTTCCTCCATCCCCTCTCACTTACAGGTGACAGGAAAGCACAGGGAGGTTGGTGGCACTGGTGGGACTGGGATTGGGGTGAGCACTATGCAGGAGCCAGTGCTTGTGGTGCCGTGGGCTCTCAGCTGTTTGGGTCCCTTCCCAGCCACATCAGCGACAGCCCCTCTGCTTGTCACTGTCCCTAACATCTGCCTCAGCACCCCTGTCTCAAGGAGATGTCAGCAGTTTGATTATTCCCAGCTCTGCTACAGGCTGTCCCAGCCATGAGTCGCTGGCAGTCACTAGGGAGGGGAGAGGATTTGCCTTCATCCCAGAGTGGATCTTTGCAGGCCCTCACTATAGCTCTACCTGCTCCTTTTGCAGACAACCCCTCTGCAGCCACAAAAAGCAAAACCAGTGAAGACATCGCACAGTCATCCAAGTACAGCCCTGCCTACTCCCCGGATCCGTACTACCACTCCGAGTCGGAGTACTGGCCCTTCCAAGGCTCACCCAAAGGTAATAAATGCCTGCTGGACTGCGAGAAAGGGAAACCCATTCCTGCCCCCAAACCCAGCCACTTCCTAGAGGGAACCTTGCTCTGAGTTGTGTCTGGACCTGAAGGTGGTGTTGGGCTGAGGTTCCTGCCAAAGTGACCCCAAAATCCTGGGAGCCCCTGGGACTCAACTGTCCCCATGTGGTTGGGAATGTCTCCACCCTACCTGCCTTCACTTTTGGCCCCATCTGACCCCCTCACGTGTCTCCTTGCAGCACCCCGGGCCCGGAGGTTCTCGTCAGGTGGTGAGGAGGATGGGTACGACCGGGGCATGCACAAGGTGAGTGATGTCCCTGCCCACAGCCTGGCGAGGGAGAGCCGACAGCAAACCGCCCCTGGTTGGCTTTGGGGAGGAGGCTCAGCCTAGTTCTGCCACCCAAGAAGGGGCCACCACTGTCCCTGCTGTCCTGTGCCATCTCTCCCCACCTTGGCCACCCCCAGCACGGGGTCTGAAGGAGGGGGAGCACACCCCCTTACTGGGGCACCCTACCCCAGCACCTCATCCCCTGGGGTCGGGGAGCAGATGGGAGGTGCTGAGCCCATGCCAGGAGATGCCATGCCCTGTCATGATGTGCCAGTGGGCAGGGAGGGCTGGGCAGGTAAAGGAGGAGTGCGAGGTGGCTTTCCCTCTTCTGCCCAGATCCAGAGTGGCATTGGCAGGCTGATCCTGAGGGAGGAGATGAAGGCTCGATCCAACTCCTACGCAGACCCCTGGACACCCCCTCGCAGCTCGGCCAGCAGCAGAGAAGCCCTGCACACGACTGGCTATGAGGGCTCCCTCAATGGCTGTAAGGATGACCCTGTCTGTCTGTCTGTCCCACCCAGCGTGGCCCCAGCTCCTCTGGGAAGTTTGCTGGGGTGGAGAGGGAAGAACGAGACTAGGAAGGGGAGGGGAGAGGAGAGGTGCTGGGCACAGAGTTGGTCTAGGAAAGCTCCTTTCGTCTCTGGAGAGCTCCATTCCTTCCCTGTGTCCCAGCTGGGAAGGGGCATCACCCAGTGGGTGTCCAGGCAACCTGGTGAAGTGCCTCGTGGGGTGGCTGAAGGGTCCCTTGAGAATCTGGCATCACAGCCACGCTGGGGTTGCTCTGACCTGTTTGGGCTGGCTGCACATGTTCTTCACTAATGGCACCTCTGGGACCTCCTGGCACCCCAGATCTGCTGAGCAGCCTCAGGGCTGCCTTGCTTGCTCTGCTCTTACCACACAGCACCCAGGGCACCCAGCTCCTCTGTCCTTGGGGCTACGATGGGGCTGGGGGGGGTTGGGAGCCTGGCAGCACAGATGGCCCTGCCTGCTCCATGGTCTCCATCTTCATGGCACATCTGCCCTCATGGAGCTGGGGCTGTTTGGAGATGCTCAGGGAGCCCCTCAGCCCTGCGGGGCTCCAGGGAGCCCCAAGGAGGATCTGTGGGGCTGGGAACAGGCAGCACTGCATGGCATGGGGTGCTTGGTCCTCCCTGACACCTGGCTCTGCTCTCCTTGCAGCTCCCAGAACCCACTACCTGGCCGACAGCGGTGAGTGTGTGACCCTACAGCCCTCCATGGCTGGTCCCCCATGGCTGGGGGGTCTGGAACCCAAGCTGGAGGAGGTGCTGGGACCAGGGAGGGAAGAAGGGAAGCAAAAAAGGAGCCCTTGAAAGCCTGTGCAAGGGTAGAGCTGAACCAGGGCAGAGCTGGTGGCAGCGCTGGGAGAGGATAAGTCAGAGAAACTGAGAGAGGAGAATGTGTTGTGCTGAAGGGTGAAGAGGGAAGGCTGCCATGGGAGAGGGATTTTCAGGAGAGGAATATCAGCACAGGAGGAAGCCAGGCTGGAAATGAGTTGGAGCTGGAAGGAGGCAGAGCTGGGTGACTGTGGAGCTCACTAGTGACAGCTCTGTGGGAGCACAGATGTAGGTGGCCCAGTGGGTGCTGTCCTGGGATGTGAGGCTCATCCCCGCGTTTTCTCTTACACATCTTGCTGGCTTCTTTGCAGATCCCCTCATTTCTAAGTCGGCCTCCCTTCCTGCCTACAGGAGGAATGGGCTGCACAGGGTAAGTGCCTCCTGTTCACATCCAGCTGCCGCCAGGCATCTCTGTGCTGTTTGTCATTCTTCCCAGGCTCCTTAAAGCCCCCAGTGCTGCCCTTCCAAGACTAGGGTGTCCTGCTTCTCCCTTCTCTGCATCCCTGCTGTCACTGCTGCCCTGTGCCAATCCAAAATGACCTTTATTGGGGTCCAAAGTGCCTTGTTCAGGCAGTGCCTGCCCTGAATCTTCCACAGGCATGTTGCAGAGAGATACTGGTGTTGCTTTCCAGCACAAGAGCTTTGCTTCATGTCCTGGGCTAGTGATTGCTTGGGACCAGGAGCTCTGGTCCTGCCTCTGTATGACTTTGGCTTGTCACTTCACCTCCTTCTGCCTCAGTTTCCCTCCTGCCAGGTGTGGGGAGCGGGTCCTGCTTTGGCATGGTGGGGTGCCTTCTCTCCTGGGAACATGGGAGATGCCATGCTGAGTGTCTGGAGGAGACCCCCTCTTACTCCTCCTCCCTCTGTTCCTCCCACAGCCTCCCAGCGCTGAGCTTTTCCACTATGACAGCACGAATGCCGTCAACTGGGGGATGCGAGGTAAGGGGCCACAGGGCCAGGGACCCTGTAGGCATTCCAGAGCCTGATCCTGTGGGGCTGCCAACCCCCACCACCTGCAGGCAGTTCTGGAAAATGAGGCTGGAGGGAGGATGGTGGGAGATCCTGGCAGTGGAGGGGTCAGCATGGCTCATGTCTCTCTTTTCTCTCTCCCCACAGAGTACAAGGTAAGATGCTTCTGCTGCAAGGCTTGGCTGTCAGCCAGAGGTGGGAGTCCCAGAGGTGTGTCTGTGTGTCCCCAGGCTCTTCAGGGGGAAGTTTTGCCCTCTTCCTGCAATGCCCTGCCTTCGTCCCCCTCCATCCCCTACATGACAGCCCCATCCCAGGACTGTGGGGCTCGGACCAGAGTCTGTCCCCTCCTGCCAGGGTCCCAAGCACTCGGATGAGCAGAATTGTCTCCTGGATGAGGAATAGAGAAAGGTGGTTGTGCCATGATTTCCTACTCACACTTGTACCTGGGTCACTCCTGGTTTTGCAGAGTGAGCAGGCTATTCCAGAGCCACCAAAGGGATTTAAAGTGGATCAGGATCACCCTGAGAGCAAGTCCCTCCTATGCCTTGTCCCGTCCAGTCGCTGGAGTCAGTTGTGCCACCCAAACACTGCTAAACATGGCAGGAGGAGGTTTTGCCCTGGTGGTCCCCATGGCCTCATTCCCTAGTGTGCCTCAGTTGTCTTCCTCTGGCTCCAGAGCTGCCTCATGGTCTTCCTGTCCCTGTGCAGATATACCCCTATGAGCTGCTCCTGGTGAAGACAAGGGGGAGGAACCAGCTGCCCAAAGATGTGGACAGGACTCGGTTAGAGGTGAGAAGAGCCTTTTCCACTGGGGACAATCTCCTCAGGGCACAGAGGGACCTGATCCCATGGGGTGTCCCTTTAGCCCCAGCAGGCAGCGTGTGGCTGTGAGGGGCTCATGGATGTGTAGAAGCATCTCTGTGTCTCCTCAGGAGCACTGTCACAGTGGTCCTGCTGCTCCACTGGCCGAGCAGAGCTGTTCCTCATGCCCACAGCACGATTGTGTTTGGCAGGGGCAGGAGGGAGGCAGGTTCTCCCCCTCTCCAGAGTGAGAAGTGCTGGGAGTTGTGGCACCCCATTGCCCCAAATGGGCAGGAGATGCCCTCAGAGCCCCTCCAGCCTGGGTGGTTGCTGTTGGCCCCGGGTGGTGGCCAGAGTGCCCAGCTCTGGCCCAGCATCCTGTCTCTCCCCAGCGGCACCTTTCCCAGGAGGAATTCTACCAGATCTTCGGCATGACCATTGCTGAGTTCGACCGCCTGGCCCTGTGGAAGAGGAATGAGCTGAAGAAGCAGGCCCGGCTGTTTTAAATGCAGTGCACTATAAATATATACATACCTATAAATATATACATAGAGAGATCTCTATATTGCAGCTCTACATGATTCTCGGTGCTGTACGGGGCAGAGGTGCCCTCTGCGCCCCTGAGAGTGAATTGGAGTCTTGCAGATCATTTTATGCTCTGTGTTTCCTTTACTTTTCCAACCTTGTTTCTGTATCACTCTGTGGGTTCTCCCGGGAGCTAAAGCCACATGGTTCCTGAAGCACTTGGCATCTGTCACTGCTGCCCCACAGGCACATGATGGAGGGGGGGAGGATTTTCCTGCTGCAGCCACAGCACCCAGGGCTGGGGGAGAGCAGGGCTCTGGGATGGGTTTGGGATGGGGGTGTCCCATCCCCCTCTGCTCAGCTGCTCTGTGTATTTACTTACGGGTTGGAAAAGGCCCTGGGCACAATTGCAGGAAAGTGGGATCTCAGTAGGAGCTCCTTAAAGCCCTCCCTGCCTTTACATGCCATGACTGGGGGCACCTTCGGGATCAGAAATGCAGAGGTTGGGGCATGGGACAGGAGGAGTGGTGAGGACCCATGGGGAGCTGGGTGCACCCCCATGTCCAAGGTGAGAGCCTGAGCCCTGATGCCTCCAGGGCTGTTGGCTTTCCCTGCAAACCCCATATTACCAGTTTATCCTCCCAAGGTGCCGGAACGGCAGCTTTCCAGGCCATCCCAAACCCAAGCTCTTCTTAAATGAAATAGCCAAAGCCACCTCCTGCCTTGTGCAGTTTCTTGCTGTTCTTGAGGTTTATCCAGGGTCGAGAGGGGCCCCAGCACCGTGGCTCTGAGGCCTCAGCACTCATGGGGGAGTGGTGTGGGTATTCCAGCTGGGAGCTGGGGGAAAGATCAGAGACAGGGAGGTGGGGATGCCAGTCCCACTAACTGCTGGACCTCTCCTGGGTTTGCCTGAATTACCCCATCATGGATGCCTGAGTCCCTGATGAATCCCTCTGCAAGCCTCTGGGAATGATGGACATTCCCAGGGCCATTCAGCATTCCCTCCACTGCAAACTATTGGGTTGGGGGTTTTTTTGGCTTATTTTTTTCATAAAACTAATAAGGTCGTTTCCACACAAACATTTTTCCTGGTGTCTGTGGTGCTCTGGTTTCCTATTTGCTTGTCCGTCACAATTTTCAGACATGTGACAGGACTGAACCATTACAAACAGGCCAGGAAGCTGTGGGATATCTCTGCAGGAGCCAGGTCAGCAGGGTTCCTCCGAGGGTACAGCAAGGGTTTTGCCATCACTGTGCAAAGGGCCAGCTCTGCTTCTGCCTGTTCTGGTCCCCCCTCCTGTCCTGGTGTCTCCCATCGAGTGGATTGAATGCTCTCCTTGCCATCAAATGTTGCCCAGCTTGTTGCCCAAAAAGCCCTCACAAGGTTCCTGTGTGAGGCAACAGAGACGTGTGGGGCCCCTTGCAGGGGTTTGCCAGGGTGCAGGGGGCTTAAGACAGGAGATCTCCCATTAGGAGCAACCCCAGCTCTGGGAGCTTTCCACCAGCATGGGAGGGGCTGGGGACTGAGGTGGAGATGGCACCATTCCCCTGGTAACTGCTCCTGTCTGCTTTAGAGCAGCACTAATTGAACCAATTTTATTTATAATTGTTTTACTCATATAAACTGGGGCTCCCTAAATCAAGCTTAACTGTTTGTGGCTACAGGAAACTTCCATCTCCAGCAGCAGTTTCAGGAGGATATTATTAATAACAATAATAACAGAACAGCAGGAGTCTTTTCATTTTCAAATAATTTTATGGACAGTAACTAACTGTTCTCCTGCATGGCAAAGGTGGGGAAACTGAGGCAGGACGCGGTGCTCCCTCCCAGAGCCAAGGAAGCCTCTCTGGCTCATATCATTCTGGGGCAGCAAACACCTCGTGGGTCCCTCATGGGTTGTGCAGAAGGTACTCAGGTGTCAGCACCTGCCCTGGAAGCAATCCCTGCCTGAGCCCATCCTCTCATTTGGCTGCTCTGCAATTCCCAGCCACAAAGCAGCCCGAGCCTGCCAGTGTTGGCAGCCCTGGCTTATGAGCACCTCTGACCACAGATGACCCCACATTATGAGAGAAAATCAGGGCTTGATCCAGACAGGAGAGACCAGCAAACACCGTCCAGGCAGGGAGCAGTGTCTGGGCAGGAGCTGGCTCCCAGCCAGCCATGGAGGGGTGAGGGAGGCTGCTGCCTCACAGCAATCCTGGCCTGAGTGTGCCCCAAATGGGGAATTTCATGAGACCAGTTGCTCGTGCCCATCTAATATTTCAATTATTGCTTTCCCAAGCGAGAACAGGGTATGTGTGATTTACATATTTCTGTCACAACCTGCTGTCCCCAGAGGGGTGCCAGGAGACGCTGTCCTTGCTGCCACACGGGGGACACTCTCACACACCCCACACGTCTCCCGAGCCCAGATCTCCCTTGAGGGGAGAGGGACAGTGACAGTGGCATGAGCACCGTGGCCCAGGCACATGAGGGGCACCAGGAAGGAGCAGATATGGAAGGAGTTTTGAGGTAGCTCTGTTTGCTCGCAGCATGTGTGTTTGGGTGGGGTAATTCGGTATTTTTTCCCCAAACCGAAGCTGCCCGACCCAACGACCCCAGCGGGCAGGTGAAGGTGCTCCACTCTAGACCCCCGCCCTTCCCAGGGGGGTCTCTGGGTGCTGCTGGGGATGATCAACGCCCGGTGTGCGGCAGCATCTGGTGGGGATGTAGGGATGAGGGGGACCCGGGACACCCCCAGCCGCGCAAGGGGGGTCGTGGGAGGTGGGCGCTGCAGGGCTGCTCACGGAGGGTCCCCGTCTCTGGGGACAACCCTTCCGCCCGTGCTGCCGGCGGGGAAATCCCACCCCGGGCTGTGTCCCGGTGCCGTGCCGGGCCGTGCCGGTGCTCGGCGCTGCCGTGCACCGAGGGAGGGGCGGACGAAGGGATTGGCCGCTCCGAACCGAGACCCGGCCCCGCCGGGCGGCTGCTGCCCGTGACACTCGCCCGCCCGCGCCTGCCGGGGCGGTCGGTGCTGCCCGCGGCTCCGGGACCATGGACCGGCTCAGTGGTAAGAGGGGACGGGACGGGACGGGACGGGACGGGAAGGGAAGGGACGAGCATCCCCTTTCCCCGGAGCACGGCGCGGAGGGGAGAAGGGTTTCCCATGCCAGTTCCAGGCTGAGGATCGCGCATCCCATCCCAACCAAGCGGGTGCGTCTCACCGGATCGATGTGGGACCCTGCTCCCAGGGTGCCTTTATCCCTTACCAGTCTTGCGGCAGAGCCAGTTGGGGCACAAACTGGTGCCAGTTTCCCTTTGCTGGTCAGATGGGTAAAAAGCCATCAGCCTGCAAGGAAGTCTATAGGGTGTAAGCACTTGTTAGGGGAAATTGTGGTCGTAGAAAGGGAGGTGACATTTCCAGATAGAGCTGATCAGATTTAGAGGGTTTCCCTATCTGGGGAAGATGCCAGTGGTCTCATAAAGCCACGGAGGGCCTGATCCCCACCCTGCTGGGAAGTGGCTGCGTTCCCACATGTGTGTGATTCCTGCCTGCAGCTTGTGGCATCGGGCTCACGTAGCTGTTAGGCTTTGATCTGGGATATGTATAAACCTGCCAGGGGCTTTGGGCCAACTTTGTAGAGAAGGTCCTGGCTTTATGCTAGGGCTGGCAGGTCCCTGGAGGGAGCAGAGGAAAACTTTCAGGGGGCTTGCTGTTTGCTACCGCTGAGCAGGGGCCTGGGGCTGCAGAGGAGGAGCAGGTGGTGACATGATGTAGCACGGGGGTCCTGGCCCTTGACCTGTCCTTGGAGGTGCTACAGAAGCACCAGCCAAAAATGATAACAGGGAGGCCAGGGGCCTCAATCTGGCTCCGCAGGCTGGGACCACGCTGAAATCCCAGGGGAGCTCAGGCACTGCTGTGTCTGCAGCTGTGGGTCAGCACCAGAAAGACCCAAGGGTCAAGAGTTCCCCTTCCCGATGTAAAAGGATGGGGTGGTGTTTCCACAGTGGAAACACAGTCATGAAGAGTGTGAGACTTGTGGAAACACAGCTCATGGTGCTCGGAGAGCAGTGTCAGTGCCCTGCAGCCCGGGAGGGGACAGGGCTGGTGACAGGGACAGCCTTCCTCCACCTTCCCCTGTGGCTGCAGCTCGCCCTGCCTGCCAGCTCGGGTGCCTTTGCCAGCTCTGAAGGAGGGTGCTGTTGCAGGAGAAGTGTTGTCAAATGACATGTGATGCCAGAGCTGTCCTGCAGGGTCCCAGAGGACATCACCAATGGGAGAGCAGAGGGTCTCAGCTTCCCTGTTCTCCTCCTGTGCAAGCTGATGGGAGGTTACCCCACTTGCATTGCAGTCCACCCCAAAAATCAATCCTGGGACCTCGTGGCAGATATGCCCAGCATGCTGTGGAAGCATGATGTCTGGGCATGGCTTGGCCTCTCCACAGGTTGGCCTTGCCAGGGAAGAGCCTCTCTGCTGTTTCATCCCCCTCGCTGGTGCCTGGTATGGTAGCAGCAGCAGCGCCTGCCTGCTTTGTTTTGAGTGCTTGTGATAAATTGCTGTTGGCACCTGGATGGCTCTTTGCTAATGTAAACCTCCTCCAGACCCTCCTGCTCATCATCCAGAGCCACTGGATCCCTCTGGGGAGCTGTGACGCGTGGAGGGAAAGTGGAGGGTTCTCTCCAGGCTCTCTTCCCTAGTGCAAGGGGTGGTGGGTCTGGTGGTGGGCAGGAGCTCTGTGCCCCATTCCCAGCTGTCTGGCAGCCCCTTTCTTCACCTGGAGCTCTGCTCAGGCCCTAGTATCCTGACTTTATGATCTGCCAACTTCTGGTTGGTGTATCCTGACTTTATGATCTGCCAACTTCTGGTTGGTGTATCCTGACTTTATGATCTGCCAACTTCTTCAGTGCTTTCCATGCGCCAGCTGAGCCTGCTGCCTTCCCCAGCAGGCCAGGCAGCACCCAATGCAGGGCTCAGCTTTACACCAGTGGCTAACTGGGGGAAACGGTGTGGGCTGTTGGGGAGTTGTTTCAGGTTGTGCTGATGGAGAACACAGCTCCCAGTGTGTGATTTGGGAGGTAATCTGTGCCAGAGCCTTTGCTCTAACAGGCCTGTGCTCACACATGGCTTCTCCTCATTAGTGCCTCTTCCATGACCTTTTGTGCCACCAGAATTTAGGTCCTGCACCAAACTTATCTGGAGTCTAAATCCAGCAAAGCCGGTGGAGATGTGTCAGGGATA